GTTGCTCCAGCAACAGCAACTGTTGCTCCTCCTGCTCCTGTCAGGCTCTCCAGCTTTAGACGCATCTCCTCCTTGCGGGTCTGCACGCTGAGCAGCTCGTCACTCAAATCGTTGCACAGATGCAACAGCGATGTGTTCTGCTCACGTAGACGCTGCAACAGCTCCGTGGTGCTCATTTGGTTCTGCTTAAAGGACACATGACGCAATGAATCGGTAATTGCTGTTACACGCTTCTCAAAGCTGTCCGCGCTTGGTAGCTGACCAGCAACTGTTGCTGTTGTTGGTGCAGCGGCAACTACCGGCGCCGGCGTCTGTGGCTTGCGATAAACTTCAAAAGCTGAAACGCGCTGCTGCGTCTGCAACGTAATGCGCGCCGATATGGGCGGCACAAAAGCGGGCGGTGGCGGTGCAGGTGGCAGCGAATGCAACTGCTGCTCAGCAGCACCAGCAACTGTTGCTGTTATACTCTTGTTGTTGTTGCTGCTACTGCTGTTGTTGTTGTTGCTGGCATCCAGCTGCAAGTGTATAGTGTATTAGTATTGTTTGCAAAGCAAAAAGTGCAGAAGCTACTTGAATTTCGGGATGCATAAATACAGTAAGAAAAAGCTACGGCCAATTGTGAATGCATTTGTGGATTTCATTCAAGTTATATATCAAGATAGATAGATATGTATCTTTATTTTGAACACTTACAACATTCGCATCGTCGGCAAAGTGCGTGAAATCGGCAAAACCCGTTGAGGTTTGCATATCGAAGCTGGCTTGCGCGGTTATCTTAATTGAAGTCGGGGGGGGTTTATATATAGTATATTATAATATATATATATATATATTTATATATATATTACATATTGTTTACATAAATAAATGAATAAAGAAATTAATATATACATATACAATGGGCAGACGTGTCTCACAAACAATTTAAGGCTTTGAGTTATAAATAAATATAATTCGGTGCGCCGAAACTGTTTTATATTATGACAGAGTCAAATAATTCGCAATACGGTGAGTACTCTTTAAACGGAATATTAAAGATATAAGAATCGAAATGTAAAAAACATTTCTCTTAATTATTAATACTTTTACTATTTATAGTTTGCATTTCTATAGTTAATATAATTTTAGATTTCTTTTCTCTTTTTTTTTCGAGGGCGCACTGTGTTAAAAATTGCTTAAGATTGTTAAGGAGCACGAGAAAAACTTGTTTAAAAATTAACTTTTAATTATCGTTAGCCAAAATAGAGAGAGAAAGGAGGAGCGAATTTTGTTTTCTATAACTATGAAAACCCGTGAAATCTGCTTTTAAAAGTGAACCGACTCTGTTTTAACATTATCTGTAATATTTGTTATATTGTTAATTATTGGCACTGTTAAGAAAATTATATGTTAAAGCGAAGCAGGCCATTAACATTTGAATGTAAAGCTAGCGGTAGTGCATAAAGCCTGCAGCAGCGATTCTTATTATTATTAACCATAGAGCATTTTATTAGTGGTATTATGCTTCTTGTCTTTCCTAAACAATACATAAATAAATTAATTTTTGGCAATGAAATCGCCGAAAATAGAAATCAAATAAAACAGTAATTCTATTTCATGTTATTAAGAGCAGTATAGGTGCTGACTCCCTTTAAATAAACTCGGATATACTTCCATGGAAATGGAACAGCAGACAGCTCGGATTAACAGTCTTGTGAAATGTTAACTAAGGTGCCTAAGACTTACAGTTGCTGTTAACTGTTAGTAAATGGAACACAACATTTAAAAAGATTATTGGTCATGGATACGTACTGGACAACAGACAAACAACATATACACATTTATATACATATACATGTTTCAATTCAATGTCTTAACTCACCTCTGGCTGTTGGGCACCAGCTGCACCAATTTTGAACTTATTCAAGTCTAAGCTGCTACTACGTGCATGTCGATGAGGACGTGGCGGCGGCAAAGGCGGTGGCTCCTTTTTGGCAGATGTTATGACGCTCGTTGCATAGCTTGAGGGCGGCAATGGCGTCGCCTGATCCGGTGGCTCACTGAGACCAATGGAGCCAATACTTGGCTCCCTTTGCGGCGGCGGTGGCAATGCCCCAATATTATTCTTCGCTGGCAGCTTCTTTGCTTGCGGTCTTTGAATGGCGCGCAGATCGTTGCTTTCCCTTTGAATGTTGTGTGTGCTGTTTGTAGTTGATGTTATTGATGAAGACATTGCAGCTGTTGCGGTTGGTATCGCTGTTGTCGTGGCTATGGCTTTGGGGCTGTCCTCGCGCAGTACCACAACGCCTTCCACATCGGCAATTTGCTGTTGACTTGATAAATCGCCTGAAGACGCAATAGCCGTGCCTGCAAAGATTTGTTTGATAAGAAGATGCATTATAGATAGACCTATATATATATATATATATCTACCTATGGGCGTCACACGCAGTGGCACGGGATGCAAGATTTGCGGATTGGAGCCCACATCCTGGGCAGTGCGTTTCATATCAAACAAAGCTGGCTTCAAACCGGGACTAGAAACGGCAGGAGCAGGCACACCAGCAACAGAAACTGAAGCTACTGTCGTTGCACTTGCTCCGCTTACCATGGCTGTAGCTGTCGTCGTAGGAGATTCACTGAACTTCGTCCATTGGCTGGCATCGTTAGTTGAGCTGGCTGGAGCGCCCGCTCCAGTTGTTATTGCTGCTGCAGCTGTTGTTGTCGACTTTTCCGCATTCGGTGAATTGGAAATGCTGCGGTGCTTGAGCACTGGCGTCGTCACCTCTCGCCTGGAGCTGCTGTTGCTAGCTTGAGAGGAAGTGGAAATGCTACTCAGATTCATAATGTTCTTGTCGTTGAGGCGTGGCTTGGGTTGCTGCTGCTGTGTGCTGCTAATGATTGTATTGTCTGTGTGCTCATCGTCATCGTCATCATTCAAATGCAGGAGATCAGCCTCGGGCGGCTCTTGAGGTATAGTTGATGATGCCGAAACGTTTGTCGTTGTCGATTTGGCCAGCACATTCGGATGTAAGCAATGGGGCAAACTGCTGGGCAATGGTATATTGTTACGACGCAAGACAACGAGATGCATGGCAGCCGTAAATTCGGATAGACTGAGAGCTCCGTCACGGGTCACATCGCACAGCTGCCAAATGTGACGCAGCTCCTCAACGGGTATGCGACTCTTCTCAAAGAAATTGCTGCCAGATGAGGAACAGCATATATAAATATTTTTATCTATCATTGATTTCAGAGATATCGAAGCTTACCGCGCTGCCTGTCCGGAAAGCAGGCCATTCGGATCTCGTTGCACCGCTCGAAATTGTTTATTGTAATATTCGCGCTGTTCCGGAGTTATCTGATAGAGAGTAATCAATTCACTTTCGTTGTCCTCATCATCGCTGCTGTGGCGATCGGAAGACTCCTCCTCGGTTCCCAGCAGCTGGCGGTGTTCATCTCCTAGCAGCCCTTGCCACAGCGTATCCTGCGCCCAGGGACGCTCGGCGACGCTATTCGTCGGTGTCGGACTATCGCTATTTGTGCTCCACGCTTCCGGTGAGCCACGTCGACGCTATGGTTAGATATATATGGTATTTGTTTTTAAGATATATCAGATAAGATAACAGATAAGCTATACGCACTGTTTCGCGGCTGCTGCTGCTGCTGACGACACCAACAGCCTCCGCATTAGCCAACTCATCAAAGTCGCCACCGCAGCTAGATTCGTTTTGCTCTACTTCAGAATCGGTACTTGGCACATCCGAGGTATCCTGCAGCTGCTCCAACTGCTGTTGATGTTGTTGCTGCTGGGAATTGCGACGCAGCGAATTACGACGATCGTTTGTTGGAGGCGGCGGCAAGGCACCTAAGCCATTCTCACACGAAATCGTTGAAGTAGTAGCCGCTTCCTTCCAGCTAAAATGCGGCAAGGGCAATGGCACAGTGGCCGCTATGAGCTCCTGACGCAATGGCACAGACGCTTGATGGGCGGCAATTAGCTTAAGGCATGAATAAAACTGAGCACGAGAGATATGCAAAGCTGTGGAAGGAATGCCAGCTAAAGCGGTGATCTATTAAGAAATATACAAACATTAATTGCGACATCTGTCAAATTATTTATTGAACCTACCTCAATGACTGTCTCGTTGGCAATGTCTGCAGAGCGAAAGAGTTCGGTTGCCTTCAGCATGGGTACCTTACTGCTGCTCTCCACGTCGCAGCACTGAAACAGCTCACTATAGAAACGTGTCTCTGGCTCTGTGAGCGTTACCTCCTCCATCGTCAAACAACTTGTTGAGGGTCTTATTACTATTTGGTATCAAGCTAGCCACGCCCCAGGCCAGGCAACAGTTTTATTTGTTTATATATTGGCTTTACTGCTAACTCAGCTGTGCTGTGCCTCCCCCCACTTTGCGCTTCGGCTTCGTTTAACGTCGCGTCAGCGTAGGTGGAAAAACGGGGCTCCAAATTGAAAGACGATTCGAACAGCAAATTCCAACAGCAGCAGCAGCAGCAACGTTTTGCTTTAGCTTCAGCCAGAGAATTTTATTCACACATTTAATGCATGCCGCACGGCACAGGCAACGTAATTTCCTCAATCTCCGAATTGGTCTTATTTTCAACAGCACAAATTTGTCTAATCAATAGTAAATTTTTACACGAAATTTTCGCAAACTGTTGTGCACTGTGGTGGCACTATCATCGATATTAGTACTTAGAGATTGCGATGGTCGATTAGTACGTACCCGTGACTATCAAGAGTAACTAAGTATTCGTTTCACGATTTCACGAAATGTGAAGCACGCCGTGCTCTTCAATCTGATTAAATGAGATACTCGATTAGTCTGTTTGACAGTAAAAATAAGTATATATGTGCAGAATTGCTAATCTTTTTTAAAACATCGCTAGATTATAAATTTTGAAGTATATAAGAATTATGTTTTGAGATCGAGTTGATATTCAAACTATTTACCAGTATGCCGTAAATCGTCCATCGCTATCGACGATATCGATAACAGCAAGGTTTGTTATTGTCCGTCTAGGCGATTGCAACGCAATTTAGTGTTTAAATTTTTTAACAAAGACTTTCAGTGCCTAAGCAAAGCGATAGATTTAGTGTTTTATATATTGAATAGTTGAACATGTTCTCACGCAAAAAGCCAGAGCCTGCGAAGCGCCGACAGCATGATTTGTCGCAGGTATGAGACAAAAACAAGCATCTACATTTTGTCTATTTACAAATATGACTCATTGACTTCCCTCTCCTCTTGCTTGGCATCAAATAGTTCGGTCTGACGGAAATACCAGATGACTTTGATCCCAGCGCTGGCTATGGTGATGAAAGTGGCGATAGCGATTTGGAGGCTGAACTTGCGGCTATTGCCGGTGGCGGTGGTCCAAAACCCAAAGAAAAGGCAAAGCCAAAATTGTTGCCCAGCAGCGAATTAGATAAAATGATTGCAGACAGCCTGCGTGATGTCAGCGATGATGATGATGATGAGGCACTGGAGAACGACAGCGATTTACTTGGCGAACTGCATGGCATAACAGGCGTAGAGGAGGAGGAGGAGGAAGAGGAGAAAACACAGCCAGCTCCCGCTGCTGCGCCCATTGAGGAAGCAGAGCCCGTGCAAACCTTTCTGCCCACCACAACAGTTGATACATTGTCTATAATCAAACAGCGCATAGAGATGTATAAACAAGCAGAGGCGAATGCGAAAGCTGCCGGTGAATCTGGCAAGGCTCGACGCTTTGCTAGGGGCTTGAAAACACTGCAGGATTTGCTGAAGCAGTCGTCGGCAGGCAAAAACATTAATGTCGATGACATTCCGCCAGAGGTGAGCGTCAAGGCGGCCGGAGGGGGAGGAGGAGTGTCTGTAGCATCTGAAGCCCAGCTAGAAGAGCCAGAGCAACCAAAGCTGCCCACACGTACCGCTCCAGCGCCACCCACTCCAAGCACACCGCCCGTACCGCCCACGCCCAGGTCACCTCCAGCACCGCTCACGCCAAGCACACCTCCAGCTACAACAGCAGCTGCATCTGAGACGCCCGTCAACCCTCTGATATCTCAAATGCGCAGTCGTCAAAGCGAGTACAAAGCAGCCGCAGTGCAGGCCAAACGCAATGGTGACACAGCTTCGGCTCTGCAATTTTTACGAGTGGTCAAGCAATTCGATGTGGTAGTGAAGATGTGCGAGGATGGCCAGGAGGTAGATCTAAGCGATATGCCGCCACCTCCGGCTGAGTTTCTAGCATTCATGGCCAAGATGCAGGAGGGAACAGCAGCAGCAACAGAGTCCGAGCCAGCGCCTACACCACCTCCAGCATCAGCTCCTGCTGCTCCGCCAGCACCTGCAGCTGCAACAGAAGCCACAACCATGTTGGAAGCACTGCAGCAGCGTTTGGCCAAATACAAGTCTGTGGAGGAGTCAGCCAAGGCGGAGAACAATACAAGCAAAGTACGTCGCTTTGGACGCATTGTCAAACAATACGAGGATGCAATAAAGCAATACAAGGCTGGCAGACCTGTGGCCTACGACGAATTGCCAGTGCCACCAGGCTTTGGTCCGTTGCCCATAAGTGAGTCAGCTCCAGCAGCAGCTGCAGCTGCGCCGGATCCAACACCTCCCACATCGCCCACCACAGCGAGTACTACGCCCGGCAGCTCAGCTTCAGCTACGCCCACGACGGCAAGAAAAGCGCCAACGCCACCTCAACCTAAGGAGCTAACGACACGCACCTCCGGAAATCATCAGAAGAGCAATCTGGCTGAGCAACAAATGAAATTATTGCTCGAGCGCCAAAGGGAGTTTAAACTGGCGGCCCTAGCCGCAAAGAAAGCGGGCGAAATCGATCAAGCCAAGGAATATCTGAAGATCTTCAAAGGCTTCGATTCGTTGCTGAATGCGGCAAGCAGCGGTCTGCCCGTGGATCTCAGCACGGTAAGACGACAAGGCTATAAATTAAGATTTTATTACATTCTTATATACATATTTTTCTATTTATAGCTACCTGTTCCACCCTCTCAGCGCGACAATTTGGAGGCATCCTTCGCCATTGTTTCAACTGAGGAATGTGATCCAAACGATGACATTTGCGAGATTGGTGTGCGCATCGAGGAGCAGCTGGCCAAGCAGTTGATGATGTGCAAGAATACGCGGGATCATCACAAAGCCATGGGCGACATAGCTGGCATGAATCGCTTTGAAAATCTCGCATTGACTGTTCAGAAAGATTTGGATCTGGTGCGCTATTCGAAGCGCAAGAATTTATCACTGCCGAAATTCCATTATGAGAAGCGTTCCTTTAACATTGTCCATTGCAACACGGATCTGACAGATAACGAACTCGAAATTGTTGTTGTAAGAGGCATCAATTACAATGTGGCCAATCCCAAGGATGTGGACACCTATGTTCGCATAGAATTTCCACTATTGAATGTAAACTTTAAATTATTACTGTCCATTCACATTTCTTAACAATATTATTTGCTACTACAGGATGAAGCCTTCAGAGCGAAAACAAATGTGATCAAGGACACAGACAGTCCGGACTACGATGAACGCTTTAAGGTGGAAATTCAGCGCGGAAATCGTCAATTTCAACGTATCTTCAGAAGACATGGCGTTAAGTTCGAGATCTATTCAAGGGGGTGAGTTGAAAAACGTTCAGCTACATATATGAACATAATATTGAGCACTATATAATAACTATTAATTCGTAATAAAGCCTAACGCATTTGCTTATTATTAACCAAGGTGAAGCGAGAATAAACCAAATAGAAATTCATTCAACTTCAGCAAAAATAACTTGCACGCAAGATTCTCGAATAATATATATATACTCAAAATCTAGGCTTAAAGCTGTATTGTTGATTTTTTCTTACAATCCCTAGATTTCTAAAAATTTTATTCTCTACTATCTAAATTTCAATCAGTAGTAGTTGAATACAAAACATTTTTGTAAACTTGATTTCTAGACTTGCCACAAATATAATTTGAATGTATTTGTAGACTTTCAGTAAATATATATTAAAATAGATTGAGATTAGCCTATATTTTTACATTTTGCTCCAATACAGTTCTTTCAATTTTACCATTTACCCGCTAATGCTCAACTTTATATATATTGGTATATTTACTTGCGTTTTTAAGGTGCACTGTATATCAGTTTTATATTCACACAAATCAAAATCATTAGTAAAGTATCATTTGTATTAGATTTTGATCTTCATTTAATTGGGAAGCTCCAATTAGAGTGTCTCTTGCTTTAAACATTATCTTATTATGCTACAGGTGATGTGAGATTTAAAAAGATTACTTAATTTTTACCAAAAAAAAGTTTCTGTAATCATTTATTATTTTCGTAGCGCTTTGCCTAGATTTGAGTTCGCCTTTCACATTTTCATTGATTCAAAACATTGAATTCCCATAAGTCAAATGATTTTAATAAAAAAAATTATGTTTTACGAACTCTTACGCCACAATTTCCATTCCAATCGCGCAATGCTACGCTCAATGCTAAAAAATAAATAAATAAATAAATAGCTGCAGTATTGATTGTTGTGGACTAAGTCGTAAACTGCCCATATGTTGTTTCAGAGGATTTCTACGATCCGATGTATTGATTGGCACAGTAAATGTGAAATTGCAGCAGCTGGAAACCAAGTGTGATATACACGATACCTTCGATGTGAGTAAACTATATTATATATACATTTTTAAACAAAAGTTAACCTTTATATTCAGCTAATGGATGGGCGCAAACATGTGGGCGGCAAGCTGGAGATCAAGGTTCGTGTACGAAATCCCATATTGACTAAACAAATGGAGCACATCGACGAGAAATGGCTAGTCCTAGATGCCGAAGCCTGAAACGGAATTTCCCCCATGAGACATTCGATCATCACATATATGCCTGGTCATATTTCTCTATATATAATATCTTGTACTTTAATGCAACAACAAAAGTTTGATGTGTTAATTGCTTACACACACACACATACACAATATGTACTATATATGTGTATACATATATATTTGTATAAATCTTTTATGTATATGAGATATTTGTATATGGAACAAGGCGCTGTCGCTGCTGTAAAGAAAAGGTTGTGCCCCAATTACGTACGAGGGTTCTCTGAAAAATTGCCGTTGCTAAAATTAAATATTTGAAAACTTGATAAACAACATTTATAAAATTACAAATTAATTCCTTTCAATTGATATTTATATTTTTACCGATCAAACAAGAAATATCTAAACAATTTTAAATATACATTTTTTGTGAAAACATAAATCTATTTTGTTTTGGAAATAAGCAAGATCGGCAATTTTCCTGAGTTCCTCGTAAAGAGTTCCAAGCCAAAACAGTTGAAGGGAAAGTTGAGTATGATTAAACAGTGCGCGCCTTGTGGCCAGGGAAAGCCTGATTATGTTTTAACTAATATATGCACGATATGTTATTACTATATATGTATAGATATATATGTATATGCTTTTGTTAAAGTTGTTTGCTAAATTATAACTCCAGATATTCGACTATTTGGGAGAAGGCGCTGCGCTCATCGAAAACATCCACGCCGCGCACCTTGTAGAAACCTGCAAAGGGAAATATTAAATGCAATTGCCTATAGATCGTATATATGTGTATAAATCTTACCATTCACGCTGTTATTTCCGCCCGGCGCATATTGAAAAGATGGATACGGCAGATGCCAGCCCTGCGAGATGTGCAGCCAGTCGGAGCCAGCACGCTCTCTAAACCAAACCTCGTAGCTCTTCAGGCATTGGGTGGATCGCGCTTGTTCGCTCCACCTGATGAACACCTCACTCTTGGTCACCTCCACGATTTCCAGCTGTTGGGGTCGCTTCAGCTTCGGCCAGGCTGCCGAACAGACGCGCAACAGCATCAGCCAAGGCAACGGTAGGTGGGCTGAGTTGACAACTAGTTCGCTATTGTACTGCCAAATGGGACCCGTTTCGTAGAGCCTCGGCGTTTGCGCTCTTCTCATGGCCTCCCTCAATGTGGCGTTCGGATATGCTGGACTGCCTGCCTGCTGCCACACGTGGGCGGGATCTGTGCTGTGCGGCACCAGCAGCTCGGTAATGAACGCCGATTCGTTGGCAATGGACATATTCAGAGTGTATTTGTGATGGTAGGCCGTTAGCTGTGGTCCCGCCTGCTCCGGGCTGAGGAATATGGTGGCCATGTACTGGGCCGCCCCGTTGCCTGAGATGCTGCGCAACACCTGCACACTGTGCTTGCTATCCATGTTGACCACCTCCAGGTTGGCGGCTCGTGTGCCCAACTTGGCCAGCATGCCAAGCGCGGCATAGACGGGCTTCTGCACAAACTGCGAATGCGGTGGGCTCGTCTCATTCATGCGAAAGTGCGCCAATAGGGTGCTGAAAGGATTGGTAACGGATTTTCTTTTAAATGTATATGTGAAAGACTTTATAGTCCATCTAGGGCAAAATAATTAGATTATTTCATTATTAACATGATGATCCAAATTATCATTATGCTAACAACGATGATAGTTAAATAATTTAGTTTATTTATTAATTATCGATCAGTATCATACCGTCATTATAATTATCGTATTGTTGATATTCAGAAATAACATGATAATCACAATAAACACGATAAAATATAAAACAAATATGCTTAAACAATAATACTTATTTAAATATTTTACACCAAACAGCACTCAGCACAACCAAACCGCACGAAGACTGCGACCCAACTGACTAAAAGCAGCACCAAACGGCCCTTTTATATACTCAACTTTCTCTAACTATGGAACTTCGCTCAAGGAGATTTTTCGAAGAGAGTAACTGTGCGCGATCAGTGAGTAAAGAGTGCATTTCCAATGTGAGCTGAGCAGTTAGCATATACTAGCTGGCTTGGGTCAACTAATTTTAGTGATCGAGGGTATACATACATACATACATACATACTAGTGGTAACCCATATATTCATTTCAATAGCTGAACCTAGATCTACTCACCGCTGACTGAATTCGTATGGATGATAGCTTAGAAATGCATTGTCATGACTAAGGGACTCGAGTTTGGCTAAAACACCTCCCTCGAGCTTCGCCTGCCAGTGTTGCATAACAGTGGCGATTAGAGTAGCCGCATAACGCACATCCGACTGGAAGTCACGGGGCGTGTCCCAGCCCGCAACGGGATCTGCCTCGCTGCAAACGGAAGAATGTAGAGTCCACGACGTCATAGTTTGGAATTTGGTTACACTTACTCATTGGCCACCGGCAGCTGCTGCAGCTGTGGATAATCGTGATAGATCTTCGTGAGCAGCGCTAAGGAACCATTTAGAATCTCTTGGGCGCTGCCATCGAGACCCTTGCGATGATAGCTGAGTATATCGATGGGACACTTGGCCAGCTGTTGATTGCACACCTCTAAGAGCTCCCAACAGAGAGGATGACGCTGCTCCGATTTAAAGAGGCCAGCAGGTCCACGTAAGGCACGATAAAGCTGCTTGGATTTGCGTCTGCCGCCCGCTTTGCTGAGGCCACGCCTCACAGCTTGCACGTACTCCAAATAGGAGGCGGAAGTGAAGTTAATGCGATTATAATTGAGCAGATCCGGTTCGTTCCAGGTTTCATAGCGCCAGCTGGAAAGACGAGTTGCGCCATGGCGAGCTGAAGGTGGAAACGAGATGGAGAGAAATCGGGAAGAATTCGATATATAGTTAAACCATTTGCTCACCTAGTTGATGATTGATAATGCTCTTGACAAAGTTCTCCCACAGAAACCAGTTCCGTTCGGGATTCGCCGTAAACACATCACCGGGATTGGCCATAAATTCCAGCACGGGCGACAGATGCAGCTCCTGCAGCAAGTCGACAAATCTATCGAATTTCTCATAGTCATATTGGGGCACACCCTCCGTGCTGTACTCCAGGAACTGCACCAGTTCAAGCAGCCAATGGATGCGTATGTGTGTAATCGCTCCAATTGGCAAAGCTCCAATCAGACGCAGATGCAGTTGCATTGACGGTGCCTCGAGGGCTGCACTAATGCCGTTATAATTGATATCGCCAGCTGGACAAAAGCCAACGCCAGTCCAGAAGTGGGGCAATGGATGATAGACGACATCACTGCTAGTATAGTGGGCGTGGCTGGGCAGCTCAGTCAGCGGCAACAGCAGCAGCAACAGCCGCCACATTGCGTTGCCAACTCAAATGGAAATTACCAAAATAATTTATTAATTATTTTTCGATTAATATTGTTTTGTTGATTATATTGTGCCCTGATTTGCTGTTGATGTGTTGATAAGAGCTGCGCCCCTTGCACAGTGTTTCTGTATCTGTTGCCTTTGGCCGTTGACCACGGCCTTGTCGTGACGTCACAAGCAGAGGCAGCGGCAGCGGCAGAGGCAGCGCGGCAACAGTAAAGCAATAGAAACGTAGAGACAGCAACAGCAACAGCAACAAGCAGCAGCAGCAGCAGCAGAGGCAGAGGCAGACACAACAGCGGCACAGCAGAGCGGCAGCAAAGCAACAGCGTGCCAGTTTCACAGTTAATCCCCTTTTCGTATGAAAGAGCAGAAAAGGAAGACGGACAAAAAATGGGGAAAAAAACATTTTGCCGGCGCGCCGCATTGATTGAGCATTGCAATGGCTCTCATTAGGGGTGGAAAAAATGTGCCGAACCGTCACTTGGCACGGGCAGGCACGAGGCGTTCGTATCTACATCGCATCTTTTCTGTTCGCCCTCAATTTGGGGGAGTGCAAGGTGTGACAAATAATACGTGTTTTATGATTGTGTGCGGGTGATAATACGCGCAGCAATTACATGCTATACTCGTATCCGAGGGTAAGTTATTGCAGTTATGTATAGAGATATTAAATGCTCACAAGGATTTACACGTATTTTAGAGCAGCGTAGCAAAAGCTGAAAGTGGATGACGAGAATTTATGAGTTTTAAATTAATTCGACTTAGGGGTTCTTAGTCGAATTAATTTCAATTGCCCTTAAGCTAATCTATGAGTAAAAGATTTTAGAGCTGTTTCATGTTTATTTAATTTAGCTTGGATTAAAAATAGTTCATTTTAATTTGATTAAAAGTTTTGGAAAGTTTTCAGACTAATTCTTATTAATGAAAATGACTTTCGAATGATTTCCTAAATATAAAATAATAAAAAATCAAAATAATATAAGAATAAAAATTATCTCAAATTAAAAATTGAAAAATTATATATTTGATCAAAATATATATTAAATATATAATTTTTCAATTTTTAATTTGAGATACTTTTTATTCATAAACAAAAAAAAATGTAATAATTTTTAATAATTTGTTGCTCTATTTCTATATATAGTTACAGATTCAATTTATAAAATGCTAGAATATGAAAATGGCTTAATCGATAAATATCGATTTTTATGATATACACCATATAGTAAAATGATAGCCCAGTTTGCGTTGATGGAAAAGTTATTTGTCTATAATGAGGGACGATTTGGCGTAATGGACCCATTAGAAGGTAATGCGAGCTAAACTCAGGCACCAAATATGCCGCAGGGAATATACAGCAGCTCGACTGCATTGAAATTCTCAGTTGAATTCTTAAGCTTTAGCCATGAAGATCCTGAAGGATTTGGAAGCCGTGGCCAGACCCACGCAACTGTGTGCCCTGTTGCCCTTCTTCAATGGCAATCAGTCGGACAATTTGAGCATTAATTCGGCGGGCAAACTTTATGGACGCGTTATGGCCCTGATCCTGCTGGTCAGCTCGGTCCTTTTCTGCCATGATGTACTATTCGCATCAGAGAATTACAAGCTGATGGTCCATTCGCAGGGTGAGACGGAAGACATCAATAGAACCATTGAGACGCTATTCTGCATAGTTAGCTATACGATAATTGTGGTATCCAGTGTTTTGAATACCTCCAAACATTTTCGCACTATACGTGATCTATCTCTGCTGGATGGGTATCTTGAGGCACATGGCTATACGGCCAGCTATAGCTGTCGATATCTAGGCAGCCTATTGATCTTCGTCTCGGCGAGTGTTGTGGTCGTCGCCTTCTACTACATTCATTTTCTGAGCAACATCGATGTGAAGAGGCAGTGCATCCTAATGTGCATCTATGGCCTGCAGATGCTCTATTCCTGCGTGTTCGCCCTCTATCTGCGCACCATACTCATGTGTCTGGCATTGCGAATCGAGTTCCTGAACGCGCGACTCGAACAGTTCACGCAGAAGGATCGGGAGCAATATCTGAAGGACGATTGGTGTGAATTATCGAATCTGATCGAGATTCTCTGCAAATTCCGTTACATTACGGAGAACATGAATTCGGTAACGGGCGTTGCTTTGCTCTTCTTCTTCGGCTTCTCCTTCTACACGGTAACCAATCAGAGCTATTTGGCCTTCTCTACGTTGACAACGCCCGATCAGCTACGCAAGGAGCACGACACAATGGGCTTGTCCTGCGCCTGGGTCATCGCAGAAACAGCCATAATGGCAATCATTTGCAGTTCCTTCGATTGCCTGGCCTCCGAGGTGAGTGGCAAAGTGAACATGTATTCACATACAGATATGAGTGTTTAATGTAGAATGGTTGAATATACATACATATATACATAGATGTAGAGTTTGCTTAAAGTAAATACAATTGGTTAGTTTTAATATGTACCAGACATAAATATTCATATTAGGAGTCTTTATTCAGAATTCAACTCATATAAGTTCGTCTTAATAAGTGTGGTCGCTTTAAATCTTACATATTAGTGAGTCTATTGGCTGAGTTCAGATTTTACATTGCTATGAATACTTTTTATTTACAAACATTAATAAGTGCATTCATACAGTTATACATTTATTCCTCTTAAAGCTATCCATTCAAAATTATTTATAAATACATATAAAATTGTCTGAATTTATTCATAACTCATAATGAATGGATTTACAAACGATTTTTGAATGTATTCATAAATATTTAAACTATAGAATTTCATGTGTGCACTCATAATGAATTATGAATTCATTCACTGTCATTCATATGTATACATATTGCATGTTGCTATATGCATATTGAGTTTCGTATCCCAATTGGCGTTGACATGCAAATTAATTACCTTAATGGACTCCTGTTTGTCCGTTGCCTGAGCTATCCGCTTGATAAGCCTTTCAAATTCGAATCAAGATACGGAAGAGTGCGTTTCAATCGCTGTTCCACTTGGACATTGCGCAGCTAGTTAGCCATATTACACATTTTATTGACAGTTGGCCGTTGGCAATGTGTCCAAACAGTTGGGTAATTGAAATGGCATTGCACAAGGAGCTACTGCATCCACAGTTGAATCCACGCCGGATCAGACCAGTGAATCAGGCATTCATGAGATCAACGCGAGGTACTAATACTCTGCCAGCGAATCCCGTTTTCGCGGATATTCAGACCATATTATCCGTATTGAAGGCGACTGGTCTGCTGCCCATCTATGAGCAGTTGTCCAGCTTTGAGCTGGGCCCGCCCACCAAGCCGAATGAGTTCTATTCGTTCTTTGTGCGCGGTGTAGTGCACGCCTTGACCATCTTCAACATCTATAGCTTAATGACGCCCAATTCGGCCAAGCTGTTCATTTCGCTAAGGGAGACGGACAATGTGAACCAATGGATCGAACTGTTGCTCTGCATATTCACCTATACCCTAAGTGAGTTAAGAGCTGAGTAGAGCACAGAAGTGGTCCACTCTAATCTCACTCTTCTTCTTCTACATTCGTCCTCAGCTGTTTTCGTGTGTGCACGCAACACCAAGTCCATAATACAAGTCATGAACGAGATCCTCAAGCTGGACCAGGAGGTGCTGCGACAATTTGGTATCGCTTTAAGCAACCATTGCAATTTCTCGATAAAGTTTTTGGTCCTAATCGCTGCCTGCCAGGCGTACATCATCTTTCTACGTATTAATGCCTTGAGTGGTGCTGTGTCGCCCACCACGTACATCCTGATTGGCTTCTATGCCATACAGAATGGACTGACAGCCACCTATATAGTCTTTGCCTCGGCTCTGCTGCGCATTGTTTGCATTCGCTTTCAGTTTGTGAATCAACTGTTAAATGGATACGCCTACAATCGGCTGTTGGGCAAGAATCCTCGCCAGCTTCAGCTGCACATGGATAAGTTTCCCGAGGACTCGCTCTACATTTATCGCACCCACAATCGCCTATTGCGCATCTACAAGAGCATCAACGAGTGCTGCAGTTTGATTATCGTTTGCTTTCTGGGCTACTCCTTCTACACGGTGACCACCAATTGGTATAATCTCTTCGTGCAGATCACCAGCAACAAAGGCGTCATCTCCTCACACATCATGCAATGGTGCTTGGCCTGGCTGTGCCTGCACACCTCGCTCCTAACTCTCCTATCGCGCAGCTGCGGTGCAACGACCCACGAGGTGTGTTTACTCTTCACCATACTAGGTTTACTCCCTACTTCCTGCGAAGTAGCTCCAATTGTGATAGTGCTTGAAAATGAGCTACTCAATTTATCCAGTTATCCAGTGAGCGCGATATTTTTTAGTCGATCATTTGGTTCAATTATTCAGAAGCTTTACCTTGATCCGTTCATGAACAATTTTGAATGAAGTAACTGATAAAATCATGGCTATCCTTATTTATTGCAGGCCAATACTACCTCCCAGATACTGGCGCGCGTCTATGGGAAGAGCAAGGAGTTTCAAAATATCGTAAGTACCCAACTCTCACTCTTATATCCATATTTGAATATATAACTACGTCTCTAAACAGATTGACAAATTTCTAACCAAGAGCATCAAACAAGAGGTACAATTTACGGCATATGGTTTCTTTGCAATAGACAACTCCACACTCTTCAAGGTGAGCTATACACCAATCTCTTGGTAATTTGAACCAAAATAACATTTCTCACATATTTATTTAGATATTTTCAGCAGTCACGACATATTTGGTTATTTTGATTCAATTCAAACAGTTGGAGGACTCGAAGTTGGAGGAACAAGAAGCGGTTTAAATTTCAATTTCTATACTGTTTAATTTTATTAGCTATGTATTTATTATCATTACAAAATCTTACGTCAATTGAACTAACTGCATATATTGACTTATATATATGCTTATTAATTCGACAAATTAAGCGCACAAATACATAAACGAAAATGCATTATAAAAAAGATTTTTTTCTGCTGAAAGTAATTAAGAAACCGACGCCAGACAACCCCACTTAAACTTTTTAATACACTTATGCAGCACTAGCAAAGATCTAATACATACATACAAATTTAGGATAATCGAATTTGGGGCAAATGTTGACTCAAAATATACTTTTTCTGCTGGCTCTAGTTAAGTGTGACAAATTACTAAATATTTTGCTATTGAACTAACAGTTCAGGACTTTGGACTTTCGACGAGTTTCTCCAAACAGGAATGAACAGATACGATCCAGTGCGAAAGCGCCAACAATATCCACAATGAGTACCAGAAGCAATGTTTGACGGAACTGCAATGCAAGAAATCATAAATGTTAAAGAAATTTCGATATTGAAATTGTTAACATACATTGGTTGGAAAGTCGACGATTTCAAAGAATTGTGTCAAGCCGGGCACAATGCCTGTGGTGAGGAACAGCACCAAGGCAGCGGAGGCGCCAATGGCGCACAGTAGCATTCGATTCGCACGCAGACTCTCCATAAACGGATGTCCCTGAAATTCAAAAATTGTATTAGCACAAAATGCGATAATCGGCAATCCCTATCAGTTATTATCGATATAATTATTAATAATGAGTAACTTTTGTCCATCACCACTAGAGTAACTAAACAGAAAGTATCGACAGAACTAGATTATCGACTCACCTTGTAGTTCACTGCAATTGTTGCCACCTGCAGCGAAACGCAAATGATATAAACCGTGCTACTGACTATATTTGGATCATATTTCGTTTTCTCCTCATTATCCATGTCAATATACAGCTTCACTTTGCCCACTCTGTAAAGGAAAATACATATGAACAGAGATTATTAGCTTGTGCTTTAGCAAATATGGTTAACATGGGGATTCCCCCTATTTACCGTGGAGGCGCCAGCGCCGTTGCTTCACTGGTCAGATAATAAAGTGTGCCAAAGTGCACAGCAAACTGTGTTAGTATAGTCGATATGGTGTACAAATTGAATATGTTGGGCAGTGGTGCTACCTTCGAGAGGGTTTTCAATGGCTGCAATTGACAAATGGTTAAGTTAGTATGATTAGCTGAATAGGGCCTGCCAAGCGCAGCTCACCTTCGAGCGTGTTATAAAAAGAAAGCACGCCGCTATGAATATACCCTGCATGGTGGCTTGTGTGTCGCTGAACTTAACACCATCGATATAGAGTACCGATTGACAATAGGCTTGAATAAGAGCATTCAAAGCCAAGATCTTGAACATTTGCAAAGTTGTGACCAGCGTGCAGCGACCCTGCTTGATGATATGATTCACTAAGGGGTAGAAAAGCAGATATTAGACAGTTTTTAATATGTGTATATTTAGCAAACGTACCACACATTATCGAAGATAGTTTACTAGTGAATGGCGCTGCTATGGATGCATCGCCCAGCTTAACCATAGTCTGTTCATCCATGTCCCGCAGAGCACTCTGTAGACGCGCTTGCGTCCGATCGATGTGCTCCTGTCGCCTTCTCATAGCTCGTTCCCGCGGTGACAACTGTTGATTGGCAGCCACAGCAGCTGCAGCGGCAGCTGTTGCAGCAGCATTAATCTGACGCAGTTCCTCATCCGTACGCTTACGTTTGGCTGGAGCACTGGTCAGCAAGGACACACCGACATGGGCATGCTTCAGAGCGCCCACATCGTTGGTGCCATCGCCACACATTAAAGTATAGTAGCCCAGTTGCTTAAGTGTAGTAATGATATATTCCTTTTGCTTGGGTGCAAACCGCGCACAGACTGTAACCTGGGGCAGCACTTTCAACATATACGAATGATGAGCCTGCTGCAGGTACAGTAATCCCTCGCCAGTAATGCACAAATCATTAGCGGCCAATAGCATTGAAATGTTCTTGTCGCCCTTGACGTCATCCAATGGATAGGTGCGATCCCCGTCGATAGATACCCAGCTCCAAGTGTCAGACGATTCATTTGGAGGAGGTGTCAGGATGAGCAGCTTCTTGTTTGTAAAACGCAGCTCGCGAGCCACATGGCAAGCAGTCAACGGACTGTCACCTGTTATCATGAGCACCTTGTGAGAGGATTGAACAAGCTCCTTGATAACCGCCTTCGAATCCGGTTTCATTGGGCAGGAGATGATCACAAAGCCAGCAAAAGTTAGATCGCATTCCACATCCTCACGTTTTAGCTCACGTACACGCTGTCCTCCCAAGCTGCCAAATTCTTTGATACCCAAAGCCATGACACGTGCGCCCCGACGAGCGTATTCCAAATAGACCTAGAAATAATGTAGACAATATATAAGAATATAGGATACATTGAAATACTCTTTTACTTTCCAGACGTACCTTTTCATAGTCTGCTGGAACTTCCTTCAGCATGCCCATAATAACCTCTGGAGCACCTTTGACCGCTCCAATGTAGCTGATCTCATTTGAGAATGGTATCAGGTAGCCGGCCAGCACGGACATACGCTTCAAGGCGGAAGAGAAATAATAACGTTGAACTATGCGCAGAGGCTTCAACTTGCCGCGCTTCGGAATGACGCTGTCCGACTTGGTCAGATTCCAGTCCACGGCAGCCAATGCTGCTTTTTCTAACGGATCGCCCACTAAGCCATCGTCAAGCAACGCTAGCGAATGACAACAGGCGAGCACCTGCACCGTACTATCCTCAGCCTCATCAATGGGCACACATTTCCCGTTGGACGCCAATCCAGCGATTCCCTCAACCATTAAGTTATCCGTAGTCAAGGTGCCAGTCTTATCGAAGCAACAAATTTGAACTTTTCCAGCAAAGGGAATGCGAAAAGGTTCTGTGCAGAAAACGAATAATTTTGTTAACTGAATGAGCGACGTGTTCACAGCGAGCGTTAACTCGATTGGTAAATCGGGCGGTATAATCGACGTCAATATTAAGGCGCATTCCAGAAATAGTTTGTAACGATTACGCTCTGGATCCTCGCTGCCCTTGACCCAAACATAGGAAGCAGCTGCCACAGCGAATACCATGAGGAAAGCGATAAAAGCAAATGTCTCTGCATTGTTCTCCGTCGCTCGATTCGCACCAAAGAGAATGGTGCGCAGCAGTTTGCCCTGAGAAGTGTTGAAGCCAGTGCGTATAACGTAGCCAATGCAGCCGCCATCGGGTGCGCGCATCGATTCCTTGCTGGGTGCTGTATGCTGCACCACCTTGGTGCCGCCAAACAGCACTGTGAGCTTACCCTCTCCCTCGGCATCGAGTTCAGTATTTAGCTCCTGCAGCGATTCGAGCGATTCCTTCATCTGCGGCACCGACTCTCCAGTCAGCATGCTTTCATCTACAATGCAACTGCCACGCAAGATAACCACATCGCAAGGCACAATATTGTCATTCTGTGAGCGTGTTATGGACACCAAATCTCCTGGTAGTAGTTCGTCGCTGCCGATTTGCCGCCATTTGTTTTGTCTCAGCGCGTATATCAGATATGGTTTGTTGCCCATTTTACGTATTTCGGACATGTTGCGCAACTGTTGCTTAACAATCGTACACTCGAAGGCAATCAGCATGAAGAGCGTGAAGAGTGAGTAGTACCAAAAGTCATCCATGCACCACAGACCCACGGAGAACACCTGGAAAACGAAAAACGGTGCGGTGGCCCGTTCGATAAAAAGTTCATGGAATTCCGGTACAACCATGTCCATTTCATTGTTGCCGTAGGTCTGCATTGCTGTTTTGATAGCTTGCTCCGTCTCCAATCCTCTGGAGCTGGCATAGGTGCTCAACAGCTTATTTACTGGGAATTCCACTGCACGAAAGAGCGCCTTATCCTCATCCCAAACGTACTTTGTCTTCTGAAATACCAAATAGTATTGCTGGTCTCCATTCTCCAGCTGTAAGTGTCGTATGGGCACAATTTTCGAGTTGCCATTGTTCGCCGTAGGCACCACTTTCGCCAGAACACCAGCTGCCGGCTTCTTGACGCGGCGGCAGGTGAGGAAGGCCAGCACGTGCACGCTCCAATAGCAAAAGAGCATCGTTAATATATGCAGAAAGGCAATGGCCACCACCGCAATGAAACCAATATCGTTCCAAGCTGCGTCTTCATTCCCACTCTCGTTCTTTGAATTCTGCACGTCATCTCCTTGCCCTTTGTACACGTAGATCCATAGATAAAAGGCAGTCAAATACAGCGGAACAAATGGCAAAACGACACCACTTATGAGCGTCGGTTTGCGCACATATAATGTTACATATTGTACTAGATCGTCCAGTGCGGCTGTTGGTAGATTTTTAAAATTATTTCTATTGGTTTTTTTGTTATTGTTGTCGCCGGCAGCGCCGCCCGTTGTGGCCGCCAGAGCGCTCATCAGTGACGTTTGCTTGCTGCACTTTGCTTCCTTCCCTAGTTCGCAGCTTGTGTGAGCGACGTGTTTTCACCCAACTGAACTATTTAATTCACTTCGGTGTCCGTACAAAAAAAGAAAACTAAAGTGTGGAAAAAAACGCAACGTTGCCCGCACAGCTGCTTGCGTCGCAGTGTGTGCAATTCGGGAAAAAAACTATGTGTAAAATTTACTCGTTTGTGCACACTGTCAACACTACAATCAATATCGATATATCGATATAAAAACTATGTACATCAGCCCTAGCTAACAACTCTGTGCAGACAGTTTACAAACTTCTGCGTTTCTATTATTATTGTACAATTAATTGACGATTTATTAAATTTTCGAGTTTGATTAAACGAACGGTGTAAAATGTAAAAATGCTCAAGTACATTAAAAGGCAGACGAGTAAGTGATACGAGCATGCAGCTAATGATAAGAAAACACCTGAAGTGTTTGTGTTTATGTTTCTATTCTCATTTTCATTTTGTTTTCTTTTTTTCAACAGGCCGCCGACGCAGCTCTCACGATGCAACTGATGATGATGATGTGGTCGATTGTGCAGCAGTGGCAGCGACGCAGAAGCGTAATTCGCT